ATATGATCAATGCTGAATTCCTGATGTTATAATCACAAATTATGTGCTTCAAGTCTCATTCCCTTTTTTGTTGATGACAAAGGGGGAGAAGTGATGACTAAGTGATGACTTATACCATTTCGATAGCATGACTTAATGAAAATGTCTTATGCGCATCGATAACATGACTTATATGAATTACAAGAGCTTGTATAATACAAATATCTTATATGCCTTGCAAAATCCTTGAGTATATCGCAAGTTTTTAGATTGGTTGATCATATGAAAGCATGCCTTACATCTATATCATGAAATTCATGTTGAAAATCTTTATCTCCTGTTGTAGTAAAAATCGTCCCTTATCATTTGACTTGAAAATGATTTTCATCGAAGTTTCGTATTTACTATTGCTTAATGAGAATAACGATAAGTTCTACGGTTAGAACTTATCGGTTTATGCTTGAATTCAATGGGATGGAATTCAAGTATTTTTTATCTTCTCATAATATGGCATATAGATAGGGGGCGTTATGTTTAACTCAGTCATCAATTGATTGTCATCATAAAAAAGGGGGAGATTGTTGAATCTCGGATTTTGATGATAAAATTAATTGATGGGTTAATTGATCTAATCCATATTATTGAGTTAAGTGTGCAGGATTAACTACGATAACCAGAAAATATAAAGCAAGAATACCGGAGTCAAGTTTGATGGACGTTTAAGAGTCCGAAGAATCGTCGGAGATGCTGCCGGAACCAACCGAGAAGAAATCAGGAACTTGTCAGAATTTTTGGAAGTTCGCTGAAGAGATCGTCGGAGGTTCATGGAGATCACCGAGAAGGCTCGGCTACTCGTTGAAGTCGTCACAAGATCGGGAGGCTGTTGGGAGTCCGTCGGAAGAAACCCGAGAGCATATCGGAAGTCCACCGGAAGTTCGTCGGAAAGCTCGCCGGAACAAGACTCGACGTTGAAATCTTGCTTAGGATGTTTTTAGTTATGTAGTTCACATGTAATTAGGATTAGGATTAAAAGGTAATCCTATATCCTGGTTAGGGGCCAACTGGGCCCAAAATTAGACTTGGTTTGGGCTAAATTTAAAGCCGAACCAGTGAACCGAAGGGTCTGACGGTGGCACCGCCAGACTGGGTGGTGGCACCGCCCAGCACCCGAGAGCCAGGCGGTGGTACCGCTTGGCTGGGCGGTGGCATCGCCAGTCCACTATCAGTGTCAGACACTGACAAGCGGTGGCACCGCCACTAACAGGCGGTGGCACCGCCAGCATCGGGAACCAAAGAGAATTCAAATTTTGGAGCCCAAATTTGAATCCTCTTGAGGCCTATAAATACCCCTCAATTCTCAGCTGAGAAAATAACTTTTTGAGAAGTAATTGATTGAGAGAAAGGTCTTAGAAAAGTCTTAGCAAGTCTTGTTTTTAATTTGCTAGAGTGTTCAACTCCTTTCTTGCTGAAAATTTGTAAGAGTGTGAACCACTTGTAAAAAGTTGTAAGAGGGGTATTTGCCCTTCCCCTTCAAGAGATTTGCTAGTGGAAGGTGGGAGCCTCATCGAAGAGGGCCTCGTAAGTGGATGTAGGTCATTTGACCGAACAACTTTAAAATCGGCATGATCTCTGGTTTGCATTTCATTATTGCTATTTACATTACTGCAAACCTTCTTATGTGCTTTATTTCCTCATTACCTTTGCTGCATACCTTTACGAATATGCATTCAAGTTAAGCTTTTCAAGTTCGGTTATTATCGTATCAAAATATTTGTCGAAACGAAAATTTTAATCTGCTGCACTAATTCACCCCCCCCCCCTCTTAGTGCCGCTCCGATCCTAACAAGAGTGAGTATGGATGTTCTCTCCTAAGCCTGTTAAAAGAAAAATAGTTATAATAAGGGTAGTTGATCTTTGTCCGTTCAAAAAAAGATTGATAGTGAAAGCTAGTGGCCTTGAGGGAAGAGGAATCGGGAGTGGACGTAGGTCAAGACGAACCACTATAAATCGATTTACATTTCTTCTCTCTTATCTTAATTTGCTGTATACTGATTTACTTACTAGTAATCCTTACTCGCACTTTTTAATCATATTTCTGATATGTATTTGTTGATTAAACTTTTAAAATCATATAAGATTACTATAGCACTAATTCAACTTCCCTCTTAGTGCCATTATAATCCAAACAATAAGTTGTTAAGTGTTGGTTTTAAATCTATAGTGTAATACCTCCAATGACTTGTGAATGTTTTACTAATTTAAAAAGAGCTAATTGAAACTAATGAATGTGTGCCAATTATACCGAGATGAATAAGGCTTATTTGAAGGACAATTATTCTCTCCCTCGAATTGATCAATTACTAGATGCTAACGTGGGTCACAAGCTATTGACGTTTATGCCTTCTCAGGATACAACTAGATTATGAGGGCCATCGAGAACTAAGAGCATAATTTCTTTATCACCAACTAAAGAATATACTAATATCGAGTCATGTCGTTTGGACTAAAAAATATCAATGTAACATATTAAAGAATGATGAACTAAATATTGATAGACCAGAAGGGGCAAAATATCAAAGCCTATATATATGACATGATTGTGAAGCCGATCTAACAAAAACATGTCAAACACTAAGAAAAAAACTCAAGATGTGCATCAATTCAGCCAACTATGTTTTCACAGTCAACTTAGGAAAATAACTCGACTTCATTGTATATTGGCGAGGAATAGATGCCAACCTCAAGAAAGTGCAAACAATACTAAAGATGCGCTCTTCTCCAACTAAGCATCAAAATGCATCAAATATGCCCGCGTTGGGTTAAGTATCAACACGCACCTTTCTGGGATTAAGAATCATAATATGTCTGATGCACTCTCCTCAAACTAAGCATTACAGTCTACTTAATGTTCCTGGTCACTCGATACATTGATCCTGAGCCATCATTTGATTGTTCTTGAGAGTTGAGGGGATAAGTGATAGGAAAAATATTCACTTAATTATGACTAATCAATACGAAAAGAATAAGGGCCCAATCAACAATTGAGTCACGTATCATTAGCTCAATAAAATATATCGATAAAATATTCTACTTGTATCGTAGAATATTGCTCAATCAAAATCTATTATAAAAATTTTATGAGATTATAATAATCGAGATCAATTAATAGTTACTTTGAAATACTAATTTTTTATTGTAAGACTAATTATAATATAAAAGGGACTATGTCAAAATCTTCATTTTTTAACAAATCAATATCCTATCGAACTTATGAAATTATCTGAAGATTTGAATGGGTTGATTTAGACATATCCATTAGCCCAATATATATATATATATATATATATATATATATATATATATATATATATATATATATATATATATATATATATATATATATTACAATTAAATACGTATTTTCCTGATAAGTATAAAATATACCCAAAAACAAACGAAATTAATTCAACACGAGTGGGCATCATCCACATCATTTCATTGCTCGCTCCGCCGTGGCATTTCCGCTGTCCTCCTCCGCAGTCGCTTCGCTCCACCGCCTCCCCCCGGCGGCTGCGTAGGCTCCACTCTCCACGAAGCCCGCTCTGTCCGCATCGCACGCCAGAGATCGCCCCTCGGCGGCGGTGGAATGGTTCTTGGGGCCGGGAAGGATCAGGACAACGTCGAAGATGAGGGAGGCGGCGGCCTTCGCCGCTCCACTCTGCGGCGCTCGACTGACCGCCTTTCGTATCCGTTGCGCCTCGCATGTAATCGCCTCTATTCTCTCTCTCTCTCTCTCTCTCTCTCTCTCTCTCTTCTTGATTCCTTCTTACTCCCTCTCCGTCTCAGTCCCTTCCTATTTCTCGATTCCTTCTTCGTTATTATGTTGTCTCCGTGTCGTTTTTGATTTGTTTGATCAAAGAAATGATAAATTTCTTAGGAATTAATTGTTAATTTCTTGACTATGCTGCAAAATTGAAACTTTTTCGTACTTAACGCTTAAGAAACCGCTGGTGAGCTAACTCCCGTAATTGTTACTCGTAGCAGTTATTGGTATTGTCCTTTCTTTGATCCTGGCAGTATGTGATATGATTCAATGGAATGTGGGTATCGTTTGAGGACATACGACATCCGGAACAATTAGCTGACAAATTTTGGTAGCAAGCTATTGCTTCCAGTTGCTGTCTTTGAGTTCCACTGGATGAAGGATAGTGTTGGAAGTTGTTTGGGATGCAGCAGCATAGGGTAACGGGAATCTGAGTCTGGTTTGGATTCTTGAGTTGACAAGTTTTATGATTCACTAGCAAAAACGTGTCGTTCTTGTTACATCCTTGAGCTTTCTGTGCTCAAAGTCTTTGCAGATTCTTCATTAAGAATGAGACATGGTAAGACTAGCTTTCTGCAGATGATTTTTTTGGGTTAGGATCTGGCCCAATTAGCATATCCAACATATGTTCTCATTTTATTATCGTCCTATGTTTTTTTAACCAGTAGCATAATCCATATAATTGTGGAAAAGAAATTCAATTTTCAGTTTTATGATGAACTTATTCTAAATCTGTTTAATGGCACACAGTAGGATGTTGGCAAAGACATTGAAGCTGGTAGTTTCTTTCTAAGACATTTACTGTTACACTGTCATCTTTTATTGCTAAAAATTCAAACAAATTGGTCTTTATTAGCTCTGTGATACAATAGTTATTTGAAAAATTGTTCTCTGATCTGCGTTCTTCTAAAACTTATATGTCCTGGTAAATGCTGAAGAAGGTAATCAAATATTGTCTTCTTGATTTTATTTTTTAAGCTGTGGATGATTCATCAACTTAGTTAGTTAGTTAATGAAATTGACTCTTTCAAACTAGTGATGTTATAATTACAAAAACACCAATCAGTCTGTTATTAATTTTTATAACCACATTGTGCATTAATGGCATTGTTAAACTAAGTCAAGAGACCATCAGATAAGTTGCAAAAAAAATTCATGCCTCCTTATGTCATAGTCACAGTTCTCTCTTTATTTTATTCTCATTTATCATGGATTTAAATGAATGAGAGGTAACCAGACTGATGAGAAAAGAGATCTATGAACTTTGATTGGCTCAAAACTGACAGGAAGCATAACAAAAATGATTTCTTGGCAAATGGTGTCACATCCTGGATTTTTTTATATATATATATATATATCTTTCCACACATTTAGGCCAAATAGATAAACATCATTTTATTCATCATTCATAAATATTTATTACAATCCATTTATTCGTCGAGTCATAAATAGAAAAGTAAACATAGTGATGTTAACTTCAAGAATCATCTAAGTGGCTCTACCTAGCGATAGAGGAAGGTCCGCTCTCCACTGGAATCTGATTTAGTACTAGAGGGAGGCTGCTCTGAAAATCAAAAACAAAGAAAATTCAGCAACGCTGAATAGGAACCCCAAAAGTCAACTCAAAATGTATACATGATCAAAATTCAATCAATCATCTCATTGGCGTATATCAAATACCCGAAGGAGCACTCCCCCAACAGCGGATGGAGAGGCTTTATCTTACGGGATGAGTTTGTGTTCTCCCAAAAGCAGATGGAGGCAAACTCATATCGCACTCCCAACAGCGGATGGAGTGGTGTCCCACACCCGCCAAAGTGGGGACACGTTCCTCCCAATAGCGGATGGAGGAACCGTCCAGCCGCCACGTCTGACGGCCCGTTAATCCCCAAAGGGAATCGCCTTACCTGCTCTCGGCAGGGAAATAATATAATCTAACACCGGTCACGTACATATTGGGATGAAATAACATATTTAAAATATTTTTTTTTCAAATATCATAAATATCAAATAATATAATTTAGCCCTCAATTGACTTGAACTCTAGTTCAATCGATACAATTGAACTCAATTTACTAGAACCTAACTGAACCGATCTCTAATCCTTATTTAACTGGTCTGGAACCACCCTAGACTAGTATAATTTGGACTAGATTAGGTTCAATTTAGGTTAAACTAACTTGAATAAGTCAATCAATTCGGAATCACCCTGAATTGATCTAAACTAATCAAAGCCTAGTTTAGTTCAATCAATGTTTGGACTCAAATTCAATAATAATATTGGGCTAGATTGGGTCAGGCCATCTATTGGTTATGTGCATTATATATAACTGAGCATGCATCATACAAAGCTGGCTCAACCCTGGCCCATGGACTGGTCAAGTGCGTCGCATGTGACCGCCCATGATGGTTAGGCTGGGTTAGCTTACGAGCCAAGGCCTGACCCATGGGTTGGGCCTGGCCTACGAGTTAGGCTTGGTCTACTGACTAGGCCTAGCTAATGGGTTGTGGCTTGACCTATGCGTTGAGTCTGACCTGTGAAAAATTTCAATCTAAGTAATATCTAATTTTATACCACAATATAAATTCATTAACAATATGAATAAAAATATAATAACACATTAAATGATAGATAAGGAGATAAACTTTAATACAATGAAATAACATCCTATAAATAGAAATCATAATACATTAAAAGATAGATTGGGAGATAAGTTTTAATACAAGGAATAATCTTCTAAATTCAAATAAAAATCATGCTTTCAACACATATAAAATTTCAACATATTCTAGTCAAAATTTAAATCATTCAGAATAACATATTTTAAATTTTAGATCAAAGAATATCAAACAAGATTTTAGATATTATATTTTAATCTAACAAGATTTTTAATCCAAATAAGATTAAAGATGAACTGTAATGCTAGGAAATATCATATAAAACATATAAATTTTGAACATATTTAAATCTACAATAAAAACCTTAATCATGAGTCAAAGAATATTATAAAAACTTTAACTGATTACTTTAATGTAAAAATTTTGATATTTAAAGAATTAATACATATTTTTCAAACTACAAAACTTTCAACTGAATCAAAATAAAAACTAAAACTTTTATATTCAAGAAAGGCAGGGAAACCTACCTCTTGTCAACAGGGTGTAACTCCTCGTTCCTCCCGCTGCTAGGCTCGACTAGGTGAGGAACGAAGGAGAGAAATCCCTCTCTTTAAATAGGAGGAGGTGAGCCTCTATTAAGGGAAATAAATTTTAATTTTTATATTTATTTAATATAAATTATTTTCATTTAATATACTAACAAATATGATATCATTATATTTGGAATACTTACTAGTTATTTCCTTAATTCATATCAACAAACAAAGGAAGTAGATTAAGATTTCCTTAAATTATAATAACAAGTAAGGAAAGAAAATCAATTCCTAACTTAAATATTTGATGTGATTACATTTCTCCCATCTTATAAGAAATTTGGTCCCCAAATTTAGCTTTCCTTAATAGAATAGATGAGGATACTGCTCTCGCATATCTTCTTCTCTTTCCCACGTTGCCTCTTGGTCTGAATGGTGTTGCCGACAAATCTTTACCAAAGGTATAATTTTGTTCCTTAGAACATGTTCTTTCCTTTCCAAGATCTGGGTTGGTTGTTCTCTAAAAGTGGCATCATCTCGTAGTTGTAGAGGTTGGAAAGATATGACATGTGATAGATCCCTGATATATCTTCGAAGCATTGACACGTGGAATACATCATGGATGCTAGCCAAAGCCGGGGGCAACGCCAGTCTGTATGCCACAGGCCCAACCTTTTGTAAGATCTCAAATGGGCCAATAAATCTTGGGGCTAACTTCCCCCTTTGACCAAATCTCATAACTCCGTTAGTTAGCGACACTTTTAAGAAAATGTGCTCACAAACTTCGAACTCTAGATCTCTTCGCCTTCGATCTGCATAGCTTTTCTGACGACTTTGAGCTGTTAATAATCTTTGACGTATAATTCGAATATTATCAGCATCTTTTTGAATTAATTGAGGCCCCAAAAGCTTTCGTTCTCCCACCTCATCCCAATATACAGGTGATCTGCACTTTCTTCCATAAAGAGCTTCAAATAGAGCCATCTGTATGCTAGAGTGGTAACTATTATTATAAGAAAACTCAATTATATGCAAGTGCATATCCCAACTCCCACCAAAGTCTAAAGCACATGCACTTAAGAGATCTTCAAGAGTTTGTATTGTCCTTTCAGATTGGCCATCAGTTTGGGGGTGAAAAGCTGTACTAAATTTTAACTGCGTGCCCAAAGATTTTTGTAGACTTCCCCAAAATTTAGAGGTGAATCTTGGATCTCTATCTGAGATAATGCTAACTGGCACCCCATGATATCGAATAATTTCCTTAATATATAAGCTTGCTAGTTTATCCAATGAATACTTCTTGTTAATAGGAAGGAAGTGAGCAGATTTAGTAAGTCTGTCTACTATTACCCAAATTCCGTCATATCCTTTCATAGTCTTGGGTAATCCTATCACAAAATCCATAGTGACTTGCTCCCACTTCTATTCAGGAATCGAAATTCTTTGCAACTTTCCCGCAGGTATTCGATGTTCTATCTTCACCTGTTGACATATCAGACATTTAGAAACAAACTCTGCTATATCTCTCTTCATACCACGCCACCAATAGTTTTGGCGTAAATCTCGATACATCTTAGTAGTCCCGGGATGGATATTAAATTTTGATCTATGTGCCTCCTCTAATAATTGCATCTTTACTGGATGGCTTTCGGGAACACAAAGTCGATTGTGGAATGTAATAGAACCATCTTCGGCTTGGAGGAATTCAGGTCTAGATCCTTGAGCTATTTCCTTAACTATTATTTGAAGATATGTATCTTCCTTTTGACCTTCTTTAACCTTTTCCACC